AAATTCTAGAAAAGAGTGATTTCAGCATAAGGGCAACGACCAAGAATAATCGGTACGCATGGGGCACTTGAGGAAGGGATATTGGAACCACCAAGGACAAGGAGGTCCTAAAATAAAAATGGGACATCATCCGGGACATTGCCATGGATTAAATAGGCCCAAATAAAAATAGTCGAAAAATGGGACTCGCGCGGGCGGGACTATCGGCGGGACAAAAAATGGGACTAATGAAGGAGAGTGGCGGGGACTTGAGATGTCCCAAGGTAACCATGAGTCAATATGAGGAATGGTCACGCAAGCAAATGGCACCATCGAGATCTAGACGGTGGAAAATATTAGCACCACTAGTACGAGCACTAGTGGAGTCAAGTGGGAGAGCCGCAAGAGAAAAGAAAGCAAAACAATGACGATGAAAGGGTTGCCCATCAGTCCGAGATCTCTCGGACTAGCTAGGCATGAGAAAATAAAGCTCCAAGGGGCTCCTTATAGAAAAAAGGATGTCAAAAGAAAATCGGAGCAAGGGGGGCCCAAAATTGAGACTAACGAAGGCAAAATTGAGCCCCCCAGGAGCATGGGGATGCCATTATTGTAATGCGAGATAAAACGGCTAACTTTTGAGTCTGAATCTGGCCGTGGACGAGGATCGATGACCTAGAAAAAAACTCAACAACTACTTGACACTTGTCACATCAGAAATAAAAAAATAAAAATAAAAAATAAGAGAAAATGGAGGAGGAATGAGACAAAGGGGGAGAAAAGAGAGTAGGAAAAAACTCAACAGCTCCTTAATTAGTGGAGGGCAATCCGGATTGCAGAGATATGACCCTTGGGGCATTATCTCTATAATATCTGAATTAAAAAGGCAAAATTAAGAAAATGCAAAGGGGAAATGACCAGTTTTCTTTTGGGTCATGGATTTGAGTTTCAGATCCATGGAGGAGGAAATATGGCCGATTTTTATAAGGCCTACCCAAACGGCCAAGTCCGGAATGAGTTGGCAGCCCATTATGGAAAGAAACAAAAGAAAGAAAAAAACAAAATTGTGCATTTGGCAAAAAAAGTAGGCCAGATGCACCAAAAATTGAAGAAGTGAACCTAGAAGCAAGGACTACATGGGGGTGACACGGAATATTGTGGGTCTTGGATCTCAGCCAGATCCAAGGCTGAAAAGGCACCGAGGTATGGGTAAATACCTCAGCCTACCAAAAATGGGGTAGAAACTGAAAAAATTGAGAAAAAGGCCCTCTAGGCATTTTTCTCTCAAGTGAGGCTGCCCCTTGGGTATTTGGACTCAAGGGGGCAACATTTTGGGAGTGAAAAAGAGGCTGGAGGAGACCAAGAGGCAATCCGAGTTGGTACCAACCACTCGGACTGAATGTACAGGGCCAAAATAAGCCCCGCGTAACCTCGGAACAGCCTTGTGGTGAATTTTTGCCTTGGGGTTACCTCGGTTCACCTCAAGGCACATGGGGAGGCCCATGGGCTGGCCGGAGTGCTGGCCGGAGTGCTGGTTTCAGCCTACATAAGCTGAGAATTCAGTCCGCACACTCACATTTACATGAGGTGTGCCCATGCTGCCCAAGTGAGCTCATAGGAACACTTCTCTCACTTGGAGTGAGGAGAGGGGAACCCCTACCAGTTTGAGAGCTTAGAGGAGACTGTGAGCTAGTGTGAGGAACTCTAGTGGTAGTGAGGCTGGCCTAGGAGAGTGGTCCGTCATAGGCCCCAGGCTGTGAGGGAGAAGGCAAGGCTAGAGAGAGTCTCATTAGCCCTCCTAGAGGGGAGAACTTCATAGCCATAATGGTAGGAGCTTGTTGTAACTTGAGGGGTACTGAGAAGGGGAGAAGGGCTTGAGGAAGAAGGAAGCCATAGCCAAGTGGGGAGGAGCAACTCCAAGGCTGGTACATTAACTCCAAGACCCAAGAGGAGGTGAGTGGAGAGAAGGAGAGGCCTGCTTTTCTTTTCCTTCTTCTTCTTCCTCTTCTTATTCTTCTTATTCTTCTTCTCCTTCTTGTTCTTCCTTTTCTTCTTCTTCTTAATATTATTATTATTTTTTTTCTTCTTCTTCTTATTTTCCTCCTTTTTCCTCTTCTTCCTCTTCTTCTCCCATCGTCCCATGTGCCAATATCTACACTTTCTTTTATCTTCTCTTTCTCCATAGATGCTTTCCAAAGGTTAGTATAGATAGTAAGGGGTTTCTCCACTAGTAATGGACTCCCCATTGTCCATTTCTTCATTCTAGAGTAAATCGTTACTTTCCCTTTTGCTCAAAGGTGAGTTTCACTCACTTTCTCTCCATGTTTTGCTTCATTCTTCACTTTGATGTAAATCGCTACATGTATCTTTGCTCTTTATAGTGTTCTAGTAGTCTTACGCTCATGCATTTTCCATTTCCTCACTCTAGAGTAAATCACTACTTTCTTTTTTTGTATGAGTGCTCGAAAGTGAGTGAGTTTCACTCACTTTCTTTCCATGTTTTGCTTCATTCTTCACTTCGGTGTAAATCGCTACATGTATCTTTGCTCTTCCTGGTGTTCTAGTAGTCTTGAGCTCATGCATTGTCTATTTTTCCATTCTAGTGTAAATCGCCACTTCTGACTTTGTTTGTGTGAGCTCAAAAGCGAGTTTCACTCACTCACTTTTTCTCCGTGTTTTGCTTCATTCTTCACTTGGGTGTAATTCGCTACTTGTGTTCTTGCTTTTCGTAGTGATCCAGTAGTCACGAGCTCATGCATTGTCCACGATTCATGTTAAGTCTACTTGTGGCTATATCTTGCGACTACTACTGCGGGATGGGTGACCGACGCTTGGCAGCTACTGCTGTGGGATGGGTGACTGGCGCTTGGCTGCTACTGCTGTGGGATGGGTGACCGACGCTTGGCAGCTACTGCTGTGGGATGGGTGACCGACGCTTGGCTGCGACTGCTGTGGGATGGGTAACCGACGCTTGGCTGCTACTGTTGTCGGATGGGTGACCAACGCTTGGCTGCTACTGCTGTGGGATGGGTGACCGACGCTTGGCATGATCTAGGGGTTCGCCCATCCACCACCTTCTTTACATTGACCCTTCCTCCTCCATCCTCTTCATCCATCCACCATACCCAACCACCTCACACCCTCTTCCTCCTCTATCTTCCCCATCCATCCACCATAACTAGCCACCTCGCACCGTCCTCCTCCCGCTTCTTCTTCACCCTTCCCCCTCACACCGTGTCCCTCCATCTCCTTCACGCATCCATCATAGCCATCCATCTCACACCTCCATCCTTTTCACCCATCCGCCATAGCCATCCACCTCGCGCCATCTCCCTCCCCCACCTCCCTCATCCATCCACCATAGCCATCCACCTCGCATCATCCCCCCTCCCCCCCTCCATCTTCTTCACCCATCCACCATAGCCATCCGCCTCTCACAACCTTCCGCCTCCATCTCCTTCGCCATCCACTTTAGCCATCCACCTCACTCCATCTCCGTTTTCTTCACCCATCCCCCATAGCCAATCACCTCACACCATCTCCCTCACCCATCTCCTTCACCCATCCGCCATAGTCGGCCACCTCACGTCGTCTTGCCCCCTCCATCTTCTCTAACCACTCCCCACGCCAAACTACCTTACACCTCCTTCCCTCTTCACCCCACTCCCCAACCAAAGGGTTATAACCAAGGGAGCGCAAAGAAGGAAGGCATAGAGGGAGAACCTTAGGTAGGGTGGTGGGGATAAATAGGGGATGAATTGATTACGAGTAGGAGTTCTTTCTCTCTCTCC